CCCTGTTCCCAGGCTGTTCCCAGGGCTGTATCCCAGATTCTCACCGATGTGGGAGTCGATCTCCACGATCTTCTCGATGCTGCTGGGCTCCATGAGGGGGGAGGTGATCCTCTTCTCCACGGCCAGGCACACTCCCTCCGACGTCTGGATCCCGATGGCCGTGGAGCCCAACTGGAAAACACCCCCCATGCTCCAAAGTTCCAACAGAAACTCCCAAATCTGACTTATTTGGGGCTGGGATTTCCCGGGATTCATCCTGTCACTCCCCCCCCGGACAATCCCGCTCTGGGTTTCCAAGGTTATTCCCTGAACTGGGAAGTGGGGAAGGTGGAATCCACGGCATTCCCAGCTGGCTGGGCCGGCAGATCCCTCACCTCCCGGGCAACAGCAGCTGGAGAGGCCTGAGGAGTGGGAGAGGCCCTGGGAATCCCCCTCTGCCAGAGGGAAGGAAGTTTAAAGGGAGAGAGGATTTCCCAGATGGGCCCAAATCCCAAATCCCAGCCCGAAACCTGGGCACTTTGCTTTCCAGGAGTCCTGCTCTGCCCAGTGTCCCAGGAGCTCCAGGACACCCTGGGGTCACTGTGGTGTCCCCACGGCCACAAGCACAGGGAACATCCCAGGAGCTCCTGGAAACCTCTGTTTGGATCCCATCAGCCCCTGCCTCGATCCCACCTTGATCCCACCAATCCCTGCCTGGATCCGACTTGATCCTACCTTGATCCTAATAATCCTTCCCTTGATCTCAACAACCCCTACCTTGATCTCACCTTGGTCCCACCAGCCCCTACTTTAAAGCCCACCCTGATCCCACCTTAATCCCACCAGTCCCTGCCTGGAACCACCCTTGATCCCACCAACTCTTACCTTGAGCCCATCAATCCTCATCTTGATCCCACCTTGATCCCACTGTGATCCTACCAACGCTTACCTGGATCCCACCAGCCCCTGACCTTGATCCCATCACTGCCTGCCTTGATCTCACCTATCCCTGCCTTGATCCCATATTCATCCCATATTCATCCCACCCATCCTTACCTTGATCCAACTAACCCTTACCTTGATCCCACCAGTGCCTGCCTTGATCCCACCTATCTCTGTCTTGATCCCATACTGATCCCACCAATCCTTACTTTGATCCCATATTGATCCCACCAATCCTTACCTTGATCCCATACTGATCCCACCAATCCTTACTTTGATCCCATATTGATCCCACCAATCCTTACCTTGATCCCATATTGATCCCACCACCCCCTTCCTGCATCCCCCCATGATCCCATGAACAACCAGCCTGATCCCCTATCCCAGGAGCTTTAATTCCCAATTCCTTGCAGATTTTACTACTTCCATCACCTTTGCCCCCCCATTATCCCTTTATTCCTCATTTTAGTGCTCCCAGGAACTGAAGGCAGGACCCTCCTCTTCCCTAACCCAACCCCCCCAGGGCTCCTTCCCTTCATCCCTCAACCAGTTTATCCCAAATTTAACCTTATTCCCAATCCTATAAATACCACATAATAAACAGGAACATTTTCCAATTAAGGACATTTAACCCCAAAAGGCCCCTTGGGGCTTCCTGCTCTTAAATCCAACCTTTTAGGGCTGATCTGAGGAGAAACATCTTGGGATTGGGGTTGGTTTGGGGACATGGGGAGGGACCATTCCCCTGAACTGGGGGGAAAATGCTTGGATTTGGTCCTTCATGACCCTCAGGAGAGCAGAGGATGGGAAGTTTGGGAGGGAACAGCCCCGGGATTTGTCCCAACCAACCCAGTTTGGGGTTTGGAGGAGCCCCAGGAGCCCCAAAAGCTTGGAAAGGGGGTGGAGGTGACAGTACCTTTATGGCCTCGATGGCATATTCCACCTGGAAGAGCCTCCCCTCGGGAGAGAAGGTGTTCACACCCCTGCAGGGACAACAGGGACACTCAGGGGGGCAGGAAAACTGGGAATGGGGGCCCTGGAGCCACCTGGGACCCCCCGGGAACGGGATTTGGGATGGTCCGGGACACAGGGAACAGGGAGCATCACAGAACACATCCCATTCCAGGCTGGGAGCCTCTGGAATCCCAGTGGTGCCCTGGGAGCCCCTGGAATTCTGGAATCCCACGTCCCCAGGTGCCACATCCAGGTGTTTTTTGGACAGCTCCAGGGATGAAGGCTGCAAACCCCCCTGGGCATCCCCTCCCAGGGCCAGACCACCTTTTCCACGCAGGAATTCCCCCAGTATCCAACCTGACCCTGCCAGGAGAGGTTTGTTTTCCCGTGGGAATCCTTGAGGTTGGAAAAGCCCTCTGGGACCATCGAGTCCAACCACTCCCAGCCCTGCCAAGGCCACCCCTGCCCGTGTCCCCAGGGGCCACATCCACAGGTTTTGAGGACACCTCCAGGGATGGGGGCTCCAGAACCCCCAGGGCAGCCCCTTCCCGTGCTTTACAGCCCTTTCCAGGTAGGAATTTCCCCAACATCCAACCTGACCCTCCCCTGGCTCAGCTTGGGGCCGTTCCCTCTCCTCCTGTCCCTTGTTCCCTGGGAGCAGAGCCCGACCCCCCCAGCTCCCCCCTCCTGTCAGGGGGTTGCAGAGCCAGAAGGTCCCCCCTGAGCCTCCTTTTCTCAGGCTGAGCCCCCCCAGCTCCCTCAGTTCTCCTGCTGCTCCAGACCCTGGTCCCAGCTCCCTCAGTTCTCCTGGTGCTCCAGCCCCTTCCCCAGACCCCCCCATCCCACCCTCACACTCCCCCCCGGGGCTCCCGCCACCCGCGGTGCGACCCCGGCCCGGGAGGCCCCGCTCGGCGCACGGGCCCGGTGACTCAGCGGGGGCGGCCGCACACTCACCGGTCATACTCGGAGCGCGTGAGGAACATTGCGGCGGCGCGGGGCTGGGACTCGGGGGGTTCCGGGGGGTTTTCGGGGCTCCCGGGGGGTCTCCGAGGGGTCTGCGGGCTCCGCTCGGTCTCGACCCTCACCCGGCGCTCCGGCGCCGCTTCCGGTCCTCCCAGCGCCGCTTCCGCCCGCGCCGCGCGCTCATTGGGCAGCGCCGCCCCCCAGCGGCCAATGCGAAGGCGGGGTTAGCGGAGGGGGCGGGGCTACAGAGCGCGTGGGAGACATGGCTGAGGGGGCGTGGTCATAGGGCCGGGGGCGGGGCCAGGACTCCGCCGATACTCAGGTATAGGAGGAGAGGTGGGGGCGTGGTCTTGGGGGTGGGGCGGGGCCACACTGGGGCGGGGCCACAGCGCGATAGGACATTTGATTGGGGCGTGGTCAATGGGGCGTGGTTAGACGACCAGGGGGCGGGGTTAGACGACCAGGGGGCGGGGTTAGATGAGCAGGGGGCGGGGTTAGATGAGCAGGGGCGGGGTTAGATGGACAGGGGGCGGGGTTAGATGAGCAGGGGGCGGGGTTAGATGGGCAGGGGGCGGGGTTAGATGAGCAGGGGGCGGGGTTAGAGGGAGAGCACGGCGCGGTACCGGGACGGGGTCCCTGGGACGGGGGTACCGGGGACGGGGCACTGGGAAGGGGCATTGAGGGGGGTACTGGGGAGGGGGGACCGAGAGGGGGCACTGGGGAGAGGCACAAGGAAGGGGGTCCCGGGACGGGGGACCGGGAACGGGGGGGGGGCGGTGGGACGGCACGGGGGTCCCGCCGGGGCCGCACAGGGTGCCGGGCTT